ACGTTCGATATTTCAGCTCCAGTAGCAAACCTGAACGTGCCAGTACGCACGACGCCTCTTCATGGTGTCCTCTACTGACGACAGTAGAATGCACCAGACACTTCCGGCGGGAAGGTTGTTTTCTTTCTTCATATTGGATTTTAAGTATGAAAATAGAGTAAACCAACGTCAAAATCACTTGTCTTCTACCGTAGTAACTGTCTGTCGGCAAAGAGCCCAGGCTGCGCTATCAGTTCGTCGATCTTGGAACACCAGTTCAGTAGTGCTTTCCTCTTTGAGCGACCGGGTTTTGACACCCCGTATGCCTCCGTCACCCGCTCGCCATGTACGTCATGATGACTTCATGTCGAAGGATTCAAAAACGTTTGTAGGGGGTCAATCTACGTGTAGTACGGGCTGTTCAAGTAGCCAATCTCACCGATGTCCACTAGCAAGGGCGCGCTTAGATCCCGGAAGGCCGCCTGAAACCACCGCTCCGGCAAGACGACGGGCGCCTGGAACGTGGCTGCGAGCGGGTTAACGTGTTGCCGGGTCTTCACCCTGGGCGGAAAAAAATGCAAGCAGCAAAACGCCCGCCAAGAGGAGTCAAAGAACGGGGCGCCGCCGTATCAGTCAGAGTAAATGCAGAGGGTTGTCCAGGTTTTCGGACGAAATGGGGTCTATTTACGGTCTACTATAATAGTGCCCATTTAGGTGTAGTCCCTGCAACCAGGGCAAGCGGCCACATCTCATTTTGTGGGTGCTCTGTAGAGTACTCGGTGCAGCCGCTGGTGCTGTCGTCACCAAGAGTGGGGATCAACGCACCGCTCGTGTTGCATCCTACAGTACTACTATGTTAGATATACTCGTAGCATAGTAAAGATGGGTGAATATGGGACATTGATCTACGGAGATTACAGTGGGTAGATTGCGGAGAAACAGGGAGTTTCTACTTGGTTTCGTCGGAGATTCGATGAGTGATCTGAATTGCGTGACGGATAGGTGTGTGACTCTTCTCTTCGGTTCCTCGGACACTATTGTTCTCTGCTGTTTCCTCTTCCCTCTAATAATACAAAACTTTCCCATCTCGGCCCTCACTGGCCGAGCTGCATTTCTCCACAAACCTACAAGCTTCGGCCTACCCGTTTAACCCAACACGCTAGCGTTAACGACTTTGTCGAGGGTGATTGGGTAGCACCGATGGGCAGCCGCATGCGCGGCTGACGACACCCAACCAGACGAAGAGGCCACCAACGGCGAGGGCCTGCACAGCAGCAGCACCCCCAAGACCTACAGCAGCGCCATCGTCAGCTGCGCCCCGCCGTCTACTGGGGTTGTAGGCATGAACAGGCACGTGATGACTTGTCAGTTTTGGACTGCTGTCGTTATGTGTACACCCATGCGGTGATGCGGTACATAGTGCCGTCAGATCCTACAACACGGCATTACGGCGTGCGGTACTGCCGTCAAACGCCAACGCTTACCCCAACTCCACCTCCATCCGGCACTGCCGTCAAACTCTCTCTCCTACTCTTTCTCTAGTATAATCGCGGCAACACGCTGCGCGGTAATGCCGTCAAACGCCAACGCTTACTCAATCAAAACGCGACAATACGTCGTGCGGTACTGCCGTCAAACTCCACCGCTCGGTCAAAGACCGACTACCTGTAGCAAATGGGTAGACCCAACCTAGGCTACCAGTAATCCTCAAAAACTGATGCCAGTTTCGAAACTGATGATGAGATATGTGCGTGTAGCATGGTATTAGAAATAGTATTGTGCGTAATGTAATGCAGTGATTGGCGAGGTTTTGTGCTTTGTCTTCCTGACAGCCGTGCTGAGACCAACTTTCTCTCCCCGGCAACAGCGTGATCAACGTTTTATCTGGGCTCTCTTTGGGTAGCAGGTTTAACCTGATCAAAAACTTTTCATGTCTTGGTTGTGTCAGCGAGTACCAGAGACGTGTGAAGTCTCAGCGACGTGCAACATTGATTGGTACCTCCACCGTGTTGCAGATTGAACATCCACAATATTGACGAAACAAATATTGATTTCCGAATATTGTTATAGGTTGTCTTGAGATTGCTGTTTGTTGTTAAGGTTTTGACTTAGGATTGATTACCCTATTGTTAGAACAGGAGCAGCGGCTGTAATAATATTTTGTAACAGAGGACTAATCAATCTCCGTTTCAGGATGATATTCAGCTATTTTATTGAGTGGCAACGTCGCACTGATCGGTACTTTCAGACAAACCATTCCACAAGTAGGGTCCGACGACTTGAAAGTGTGCCTCGTTTGTTGTCTTTTCTGCAGCAGTCACTTCTGTGGAGAACCGGGGGGAATGTTGGTAGTATGTGATTCTCATCAGTAGTGCTGGTTTGTTCGGAACTAATCTGCCGCCATCTTCCTCTCCAAACGCGCGACCTGCCCTGCACCACCGCCGAGTCAATCCTCCGGGAGCGACAATTGTTCTTCCCCCACTTCAGGCGGACGCAAACATGCAAGCTCGAGTCGCGGCCAGCTGGAAAAGATGAAAGACGGAGGGCGACCGCGGCGAAGGCGTGCGAAATATCCACTGGGGGGGGGAGAAACAATGGCTTGGGCAATGGGTTAAGCGCTGGAGCTTGATGCGCCGGCAAATGTAGGGGTTTCGAATGTTATTGTTTTAGTATTGGATTGGTTAGTGGTTGAATTGGATTTTGGCCTTGGTATTGGATTGGTTTCTAGCATTGGGATTTGCGAACGTCATTTTGGCATTGGATTTGATTTGGTTTTGGTGTTTCGTCGGGATTTTTTGCAGGAGGATTGTTTTTCTTGGGTCTCGACTGGATGAATACTGACGATTGTTCCTTTGGTATGTGGTTCTGTCTCCAACCCCTTCTAAACTAGGGGGCGGATCTCTAAGAGCAGGGGGGCACGTTGTTCTTTCGGAACCTACTCGTTGTAGCTAGATACAGTTTCTAGAGAGAACCAATAGGAATACTCGCGTATTTTCTGCGCAAACGATCTTCACGCTGAACGAATGTTTGGAGACGGATGATCGGAAATGTGAAAGTAGAGGATTCACACCATGCCCAGCTGCGTTTTACCTGCGAAGTGGGCATCCGTGAAACATGAAACATATACATTTACGAAATTTGTGTTGTCTTGGTAGGACTTGTAAGACGGATGGATGGATGTAATCGAAGCACAACGAAGGCGAATTTCTACGAATTAATCCGTGTTTTGGAACGTGAACGAGGAGGAGTCTAACAGATAGGTTTGGTTCAATGGATTGTTTAATGCTTTGAGTTGTGCGGGGGACACGAGTACTTTGCGGGTGTCGTTGCGGCGAAGTGCTGAGGAAGGATGGACCAGAAGAAGAGCGTTTTGCAGAGAAAGGCGATGAGACAAGACGTTATGGATTCAGGAACATTTGCATAATCGAGTTCTTGGTTATTCGTTTGTCATGGAGAAGGATCTACGTTGGGTCGTAATTGGAATTATCTTGACTTGGCCATATCATCACGATGCATACGAGCAGGGGGGCTGTTAGATATACTCGTAGCATAGTAAAGATGGGTGAATATGCGACAGGATCTACGGAGATTACAGTTGGTAGATTGCGGAGAAACAGGGAGTTTCTACTTGGTTTCGTCGGAGATTCGATGAGTGATCTGAATTGCGTGACGGATAGGTGTGTGACTCTTCTCCTCGGTTCCTCGGACACTATTGTTCTCTGCTGTTTCCTCTACCCTCTAATACAAAACTTTCCCATCTCGGCCCTCACTGGCCGAGCTGCATTTCCCCACAAACCTACAAGCTTCGGCCTACCCGGTTTACCCAACATACTATGGTATGTACATGACGGCCGAACTGAAAAACGCGGCGCAATCGTATCGCAAGGCACAAAGCGGTACATGTGTGAAATATGCAGCTGTTGCTGTTTTGGGGAGTAGATGACGATGCGGAGATAACCCTCTCACTTTCGTCGATCCGGTGACCCAAGCTTCTCCATATGCCGCTGAAGCAGAGGCTGGATTTCGACGCCGCTGTCCTGCTGCCTCTCCTGCCCGCCAACGACTGCTGCTGTCGTCACTTTCCGCGGCTGCTGCTCGTTACTCCCGTCATCTTCGCTAGATCTCTGCTTATCTCTGTCTTCGCCGACTCCAGCTCCTGCTGATGTTGGCGTCGTTGTTGCAAAGGTTCGAAGGCTAACACTGCTGCTGCTGCTGCTGCTGCTTGGAGACGAGCGGCCAATTGCCGAAGCAGGTTGAGAGGCCTTGCTGGGACACCGCCTGTAGCAAGCGGCAGCGAACCTGCCTGATCTTTGCGCCGGTACCCATGCTAGCGTGCTCGTCGCTCGCAAGAGTAGAAGCCCCATGGTTGTGTGACGGGAGAGCATGCTGTCGTTGTGATGCTCGTACTGCCTTTGGTATGTGGTGTGAGCGAGAGTGAGTGGTACAGCTGCAGGACACATCGATAGCACGCTTCTGGGGGCACCAGAAATTGACGGTGCCCCTTTGGTCGTAATTGGTCCGCCTCTGTCCCCGGCGGTGTTTCATGTTTCTTGCGTCTGGCACATTGTGACTTTCGACTACAACTGGTGGTGCAAGTGGGTCAGTTGGTAACCTCGTCCCGCTGTGACTCTCAACCTTGTGGGATTCGAATATCTCACAGAAGCACAGGGCGAAGGTGTGAAAAATTCCGTGGTGTCATATTGGGACTGTCAATTCTGGCGAATTGACAGACTCGAAATTTACAACCGACTTGAGAGTGGACGAGAGCGGTTTAGTGAGCTGATAGCTGAATCCTCGGCGAAGCATGGCTATTTCAAACGCACTTGTTGCGATTGTTTGCCTTGCCTTAACACATTGCAGGGCGTTCATGAGTACGCCCTCGGCTCCCACACGCACATCTCACCATTCGCGCAGCCATTGGCCTTTTGAAAGTGGTTGTAGCGGCAGTAGATCCACCCTTACGCATCCGAGTACGACGACAAGGAGCTGCAACCCTCCAGCTGCGTCGTTGGCGAACGAAGATGGAAGAGCAGACGTCCTGGATGTTCTTTTTGGGGGCTCGTATCAGGTGAGAGTGTATGTTGTGTGCCGTGGAGTTGCTTCAGCGGGGACATTTCTGAGGGCGGGGTATCATCGGCACGTCGCGACCGGTCAGACCCTGCCCCCTGCCCACAACTCGAGCCCATGCTCTGCCTTCTACCGTCCACCTCTCCCATCCAGGAGCGCATCGAAATTGGGCGCGAAGCCCAGGGATTTTTGACGACGGATGCGCTCGCAGCGAGAACGTTGGTGCCCCCACGAGAGTTAACTTACGGCGAGTACGATTTGGACTTCTTCCTGTCGTTGGTTGCCGAGTGCCTCAGCTTGCGAGCCGGGAAAAGCGGGAACGACGCCAGCAGTGTCGGTGCTTTGGAAGCTGAGGCGAGGTGAGCCTGCGATGCCGCTGAAGTCCGTGTCTTTCATGCCAATACTCTGCTTCCCTCAACCGGACAGCTGACAAGATTGTTATCCCAAGCGATCCCCAGCGATCACATAATGCCGAGAAAGAAAGGACACCCGACAGCTTCTTCTCTTGAAACAAATAAATATGCACGCCCAACTCCTCTCCTCACAAAATGTCGGTCTCGATCACAGGACATTAGCCGTTTAGTTTACGCCCACGAGGTGTTGCCATGAACCCTCCGCGTCTGAGTCTACAATTACATCTTCTCTACGTTGTATCAACAAGCAGTCACAGCAAGTTGCTGGCGAACAAGACCATTTCAATGTGGTATCTAGTCTAGACATGGACCCTCCGCGCCTCACTTCTACAACAGCTGGCTTCGCTCCATGTCGTAATTTAGTCGAACCAACCTGTCATCACGGTTTACTCTCGAAGGAACCCCTTTGGATATATGATCTAGACGTGGATAACCTAGGCTTTCTCATCGTTGTTTCATGCGACACACATCGCCGACCTACTCTACCCGCCCCATCCTCCGAACGACCGTACCCGATATGGTGGATCGACCGCTTCCGGTTGGTAGATCACTCGTTTTTGGCGATATTGGCTCTGGATGCGGGCGTCTCGTGGTCGCGCAAGCTCTTACCTGGCCGTGGAAATCCTGCCGCGGCGTCGAGATTGTGCCATCTCTCCACGACATGGGACAAGTGGCCCTGCAAGAGGCCGATCGGGTGGCAAAGGGAGACGAGAACACACTTTCCCCGGAAACCTTGCGACTGTTGAGATCCATGGCGCCCTGCTCCCTGTCTCTGGGTGACGTGAACGATGATGTGAGTAGAGACATACCATGGTAAGCCGCACCAACTTCCCGGAATTGAAATTTGGAATTTTCGTTTCATTAGACAGTTTCGGACTCAAAAAATTCTCCAGCTAAAGGAGACAGATTTTTGAGTTAAGCCATCGTTCTGAGGATCGCTCCTGACAGTCTCGCCAGAACCCACGATATGGAAAAAACAAAATCCAGAGTAAGAGCGGAGGGAGGCTCGTTTTGTGGAAAAGTTGTTCACGATTTTCCGACTTAGTAACCTTCTTCGAAGTATCACATGAGGCACCACCCACACGCACACACAGCAACCGCGCGGCCGAAGAGAAGGCCGGCGCCCAGAGAAAAGGTCCTAGAGTTGGCGCACCACCAACACAAGAGGGAGGCTGCACGGTCAGAAAGCCAAGTTGGGTTTGTTTGCGCGGCTTTAGGTCAGCAACACGCGCCTGCCACATACAGGTTGAGGCAAGGGGGAAGAAGAGCGCCGGAACCGCGGAACGACGACCGACAACGTAGAGAGAGGTGGTGGCAGCACCGCGAGCAAAGAAGAGCAGAGAGGAGGAATAGCACGCAGTGGCCTCCTGATGAAAACGGGCGCGTCCTTCCCCGCGCAAGAGTATTCTCTGGTTCTGTTAGAGAGAGCGTTTGACTTGGATGTGCTCCCGTCCCGAAAACCCCTGTCCAATCCCGAACGCTTGAAATGCGACATATGCATATAGCACTTCGTTCAGAGGTGCCGGCCAGTATTATTACTTCCTGTCTCCGTTCTGGTGCGATTTCGTGTGCTGGGGTTGAGGGGGCGACAGAGACACGCACACGCATTGCATGCACGAAAAGTCAACAGTAGTAGCGGGAGCGCTGGCATCAGGGTGCAGCTGCCACGCAGCGCACCACACAAAAATAGCAGTACCTATCTGCGGACAGGGGGAGTTTGTTGGGTGGAACAGGAGGACTGTTGCCCCACAGCCAATCACATGACGCCGCTTAAATCTGAAAATATTTGCCTGCACGAAGTTTCCAGGAAACTTTCTTATCTCAAAATTTGCTTCCTCCTTAAAGGGAAAAATTTGGAGCACCAATCCGAAACTGTGTAGAAGTATTGTTGTATTGCTCACAAGAATCGGCAATCTATCCGCGTACCCTACGTTCCAGGACAGGACAATAGAAGTACAATTTTACCTCGGTGTGTGTGTGTGCTATCAACCAGCTGGGGCACCATGGCACGCAGTAACATTGATGGCGGCGCAGTAACATTGATGGCGGTTTCACCGGGGTGTGTGTACCCTCCTTTCGCGATAATTTGCGCTCGGTTAAGAGGATCACGTTTTGCGAACAACGTCGATTCTTCTTTGTCAACATCGCTAACTATCTATCCCATTCGGCGATCACTCGGAAACAACGCGTGCGCGCTCGGCCGATGGGCAATGCAACAGGTGGGCATTTCCGACATCGACGTGTTGTTCTGTTACAGCAGCTCGTTCCCTGCCTTTGGCGACCTCCTCACCGAATTTTCCTACACCCTCGGACACAAGCTTCAACCTGGTGCTCAGGTATGAGAACGCTGTACAACGGGGCTAGTTAAGGTATCAATGGGAAGGCCGATTCCAACACAACCTTCCCCCAAAACGAAATAGAGTCGGTCAGCGTCTAGCCAACATTCTAGACTTTGCAATTCTCGTTCAGGAACGACTCCATTGTAGGCGTTATAGCACGAAGGACGCCAAGGAAACAAATCGAAGTGCAGAGTACCGTACACTCCCTGAGTGCTGAGACTACGCTTGTCTCACTGCGTACATCCG